TACCCTTTCTTGTTGTAATCAACTACTCTTAGATCACTCCCCCTCATTGCCTATTGATTCACTACTGCTCTTATATACACTACTCCTATCTTCATTAATTTCAAAATCCACTCAGATGTTCATTCTAATACTCAGGTCTATTAGGTCCTTGAATTTAAAAAAATTTTTTTTAATGTTTTATTTATTTCTGAGAGACAGCATGAGCAGGAGAGGGTCAAAGAAAGGAGATACAAAATCTGAAACAGGCTCCAGGCTCTGAGCTAGCTGTCAGCACAGAGCCCTGCGGGGGGCTCGAACCCGCCAACTGTGTGATCATGACCTAAGCCAAAGTCGGACACTCAACCGACTAAGCTACCCAGGCGTCCCACCTTGAATTCTTTCTACTCTAGTAATATTTTCCTTTTCACTCTAGGGGACACACCTTACACATCAACTCAAGCACCGCATAATGCATCCTCCCTGTAAAGCATTTCTATCTCTGACCATTATCTTTTCACTCACTCATGCTTGTCAGTACCTTGATTCCAACAATCTTTCAATCCTAGGCTCTACCATTCATCGATCATACTCTTTTAACATCCTTCCTTAACTCGTTTAAATTCGATGGTCAGTTACATAACCACCCTCTTCAACGCATCTTTAAAATACTTATTAAACCCCTCTCCAGACTATTTGCTTGGATTCTCCCATTCTGTTTTTTTCCCCCTTAGTATTTATTTTGAGAGGGAGAGTACTCCTGCAAGTGTGTGGGGGTGGGGGAAGAGGGAGAGCAGGAGGGTCAGAGAGAGGAGACATAAAGTCCCAAGCAGGCTCCCTGTTAAGCCAGACCAGAGCCAGATTCACGGTGGAGAACAGTATTCTCAGGACTATCATCCAGTTCCATTCCCTCACTTCAAAAAGAACTAAATCCCAAAATGCCGCTGTAATTTGCTAAGTGGAAGATCTAGGATTAGAATTCAGACCCGCCAGCTGGTGCCATTAACTCAACCTCCAAGAGTATTGCCAATTACAACGGAATTGCACCTGCTTCTCAAAAAAAAAAAAAAAAAAAAAGTAACGGTCACTGAAGCTGAGGAGAGCTCTTTGTATTCCACCAAGCTCCCAACCTTAACTGCCTCCGTGTATCTTCCAGGTACAGAACTAAATCCGTGAACAAAGATTCCTTCTCATAGCTGGAATCCTGAATAGTGTGGTGCTTCCATTACTGTCCTCGAATGGGAAATACGCAGGATGAAATGCAGGGGACGGCCGACGGCAGCTCCCACCTGCGGAGTGAGTCGGTGCAGGAAAAGCGGAGACGGGGGAAACCGCGAACCCACCACAGGCCAAAGAAAGAAAAGCACAATGTACAGATGTGTTTCTGCTGGAGGAGAAGGCCGGCGTCGATACCTGTACTGGGCAACGGTCAGTTGGGCCTCGGGCTCGGCCCCAAAGCCGGACAAATGCTGGTTTAGATAGGCCTCTAGGGACCCGGTGTCGAACTTGTGCTGGGGCAGCACTTCGATGGTGTCGGGCTCGGCGGAGGCACCGGCCTCCATGACTGCCTCTGCCGGTCGCAAAGACGCAGACTCCACAGTCCTTACGTGCTCCGGGACC